ATACTTAATAAAATGGTTTTCAGGGGAATCAAATAAACATAGTAATGATAAAAGGTAATCACTAAAACAATAAAGAATAATTATATAGTTACTGTTCCAGGATAAACATATGAAACTTTGGGCAAATAGAAAGCAGAAAGTGTTATGACAGTGATAAATGCAAATGTCAGTTATATGTGTTACTAAAATCATGAATGTATTGAACCCTAAAATTAAAAGATATAGATTAAGAAACTGCATTTTATATAGATTTATTGATGTATATGTTGCTCACATATCATATGTTCACTTGTTAAAGTATAAAGTAATGGCTTTTAGTTTCTTTACAGAGAACAACATCACCATAACCTAATTTTGAAACACTTTTATTTCCCCCTCAACGATACCTTATAACCATTAAGAGTCATTCTCCCTCTCCTCCTCTTCCTCCCACCCACCTCCAGCACTAAGCAACCACTAATCTACTTTCCCCAGATTTGGAATGTTCTATGCTTTATTTCTTTAAATAAAGTCTTTGCCCTCTATTATTCTAATATGTATCTTTTTGCTGAAATCTCTTAGCTCACATTGGCTTTCATTACTACTTTTTTTCATCCTTTGTATGGAATTTATTGGGGTGACACTGGTTAGCAAAATTATACAGGTTTCAGGTGCACAGTTCCACAACACATCATCTGTACACTGTTGTATCTGTCAATGTTGTGTGTTCATTTTGCCAAAACAAGTCTCCATCCATCGCCATTTATCCTTCTATACCCTTCTCCACCTGCTTCCACTCCCCCCAAGCAGTTGCCACGCTGTTGTCTGTGTCCATGGGTTTTTTCTCTTCCCCCCCAGTCCCTCTATACGTCCACACAACTGATAGCCTACTCTTTATCTATGAGTCTAACCACAGTTGTACTTGTGAGTTCTTTTATTCATTAGATTCCACATATGATTGAAATCATATGATACTAGTCTCTCTCTTATTGGCTTATCTCACTTAACATAATTGTCTTCAGAACCACCCATAGTGTCCCAAGGGGTAAGATTTCCTTCTTTTTTACTTGTTATTGCTTTTAAATCTTTGTTTCTTCTCCTGAGAACTTCTTGAATGGATAGTGCTGTACTTCATAAATATTCAAACTTAGAATTACCATGAAAATATATAGGTGATTGGGCCAGGATCCCAAAGCAAGTTTTGTTAAGAGGCATTGAATCTCTTGGCTTCAAGACTTTTAGGTGTGAAGGTTAAAAATATCTGAGTGTTATATAAGGTTAAAAATATGAGTTGCATGTAAGAAGAAAGGCAATGTAGAAAGGTAAAATTTAAAAGTGATTTTTAAAACTACGGTATTAAATACTTTCGAATCATTGCATAAAACCTTGAAGTCTTTAACATTTTTCTCCGAATGTTGCATATAGTTTTTGTTACTTAATTTTTTAGGACTTGGTTTTTTTAGTGCACTTTAAGATTCACATCAAAACTGAGAGGAAGATACAGAGATTTCCATATATCCCCTCCTCCCCCATCTGTAGCTTTCCCTATAACAACATTTAGTTTAATGTCGCATTGTTTGCCAAGATAAAACTGACACACATCATAATCATCCTGAGTCCATAATTTACATTGGGGTTTACTCTTGGTATTATACATTCTATGGCTTTGGACAAATAATGCAAGTATAAATGACATACCCATCATTATAATATCATACAGAGAAGTTGCATTGCCTTAGGAATCCTCTGTGCTCTGCCTAATCCTCTCCCCACCTACCCTCGTCACCCACTAACCTCTTTACTTTCTCCATAGTTTTGCCTTTTCTAGAATGTCACATAGTTGGAATTAGTTTGTATCTTTTCATATTGGATTCTTTAACTTAGTGATATTTATTTACTTTTTGTCCATATCTTTTCATGGCCTGATACATCTTTTTTTTAGAGCGGAATAATACTCCATTGTCTGGATGTACCAGTTTATTAATTCATTTTCCTGCTGAAAGACATCTTGGTTGCTTCCAAGTTTGGCAGTTATGAATAAAACTACTGTTAACATTCATGTGCACATTTTTATGTGGACATAAGTTTTCAGTTTCTTAGGTTAAAAACCAAGGAGTGCAATTTCTATACAGTATGGTACATATATGTTTAGTATTTTAAGAAGCTGCCAAACAGTCTTCCAAAGTAGCTGTGTACTGTGTTGCATTCCTACCAGAATGAATGAGAATTTCTGTTGCTCCATAGCCTTGTCATCATTTACTGTTGTCAGTATTCTGGATTTCGGCCATTCTGTAGTTATGTAGTGGTGTCTTATTTTAATTTGCATTTCCCTGATGATATTTAATGTGAAGTAGCTTTTCCTGTGCATGTTTGCTCACTGTTTATCTTTTTTGGTGAGGTGTCTGTAAAGGGGCTTGGGTCATTTTTTATGGAATTGTTTGTTTTATTGTTGAATTTGAAGAGTTTTTTGTGTATTTTGGGTAATAGTTCTTTATCAGATGTGACTTTTACAGATATATTCTCCTGGTCTGTGACTTGTCTTCTAATTTATTGCCTTATACAGAGAAGCTTTTAATTTTAATGCAGTCAAGCTTATTAATTACTTCTTAAATGAATCATGATTTTCAGTGTTATGAGGTCATCTAGATTTTTTTTGGTCTTATACTCAAGGTTCTAGATCTTTTCCAATGTTAAGTACAGGAGTTTTATAGTTTTACATTTTATATTTAGGTTTCTGATGCATTTTGAGTTAATTTTTGTGAAAGGTATAATGTCTTTGTCTAAATTTATCTGTTTTTGCCTGTAGATGTCCAGTTGTTCTACCACCATTTGTTGAAGAGACTGTCACTGCTCCATTGTATTACCTTTGTTCCTTTCTCAAAGATCATTTTATTATACTTGTTAATGTCTGAGTTCTCTGTTCTGTATCATTGATTTGTTTTCTTTGTTCCTTCACCAGTACTACACTCTCTGGATTACTATAGCTTTATAGAAAGTTTTGAACTCAGGTAGCATCAGTCCTCCAACTTTTTTTCCTGTAATATTACATTGGCTATTTTGGGTCTTTCACCTCTCTATATAAACCTGAGAATCAATTTGTCAGTATTCATAAATAACTTGGTGAGATTTTTATTGGGATTGTATTGAATCTATAGATCAAAGTAGAGAGAATTGACAACTTGACAATTATCAGAAAATATATCTGATTCTTATCCACAAACTGAGTATCTCTGCATTTATTTAAATCTTTGATTTTGTTCATCAGAGTTTTATAATTTTTTTCATATAGTTCTAATATGTAATTTTTAGATTTATACTTAAGTATTTCATTTTGGGGGTGCTAATATAAATGGTATAGTGCTTTTAATTTCAGATTCCCACCTGTTCATTGTTGGTACATAGGAAAGCAATTGGATTTTGTGTATTAACCTTGTACCTGCAATCTTGTTATCATCACTTACTGGTTTCAGATTTTTTGTCAATTCTTTTGGATCTTCTACATAGACAACTATGTCATCTGTGAACAAAGACAGTTTTATGTGCTCCTTCCAAGTCAGTGTATCTTCCATTTTTCTTTCTTGCCTAATTGCATCAACAGAACTCCGCATATGGTATTGAAAAGGAGTGGTTAAAGGGGGCATCCATGCATTTTACCTAATCTTAGTGGGAAGGCTTCTAGTTTCATACCATTAAGTGTGTTAGCTGCAGGGTTTTTGTAGAAGCTATCAAGTTGAGAAAAGTTCCCTTCATCCTTCTTTATTGAGAGTTTTTAATCATAACTAAGCATTGGAGTTTGTAAAGTGCTTATTCTGAATGCATTGTTGGGATCTTGTCATTTTTTTTCTTTTTTAGTTTTTTGAGGTGTTGGTTGATATTAATGGATTTTCTAATGTTGAACCAGCCTTGCATTTGTGGGATAAATCTCACCTGAACATTGTTAATTTCATTTCATAATATTTTATTTAGTATATTTGAATCTGCGGTTATGAGAGATACTGTTTGGTAGTTCTCTTATAAGGTCTTTGTCTGGTTTTGCTATTAGGGTAGTGCTGATCTCACAGAATGACTTTAGAAGTATGCCTTCTGCTTCCCTAAAAGGAATGTAAAGAATTGGTATAATGTCTTACTTAAATGTTTGGTACAGTTCACCAGTGGACATATCTGGGCTGGTGACTTTTGGGGGGGAGGTTATTAATTAAATTTATTTAATAGCTATAGTATTCCCTTCTCAACTGCATTTTGCTTTCCACAGTTTCAGTTATCTATCATCTAAAAACATTGATTGGAAAATTTCAGAAATAAACAAAAATAAATTTTAAATTTCATGCCGTGCTGGAGTAGGGTGATGAAATCTTGAGTTCTCCAAGTCCATCCAGCCAGAGATGTGACTCATCCCTTTTTTCAGCATTCTCACTCTACATTACCTGCCTATTAGTCACCTAGAAGCCCTCACAGTTATCAGATCTTAGTGCATGTGTTTAAGTGACTCTTATTTTATTTAATAGTGGCTTCAAAGTACCAAAGAAGTGATGCTGACAATTTTTGTATGCCAAAGATAGGCCATAAATTGCTTCCTTTAAGTGAAAAGGTAAGTAGGTATAGGGAAAAAAACAGAGCATAGGTAGGGGATCAGTATTATCCATGATTTCAGGCATTCACTGGGGTGTTGGAATGTACACCCTACAGATAAAGGAAAACTTCTGTGTGGGCCTATTTAGATCAAGTATTTCTTCCTATGTGAGTTTTGCCAAAGAATTGGTTTATTTCATTGAAATTACCAGATTTGTAGGCGTAGACTTAATCCTAGTATTCTTTTATTATGCTTTTAATATTAGTGGTATTTGTAGTGATGTCTACCCTTTTATTCCTGATATTAGTAATTGTGTACTTTCTTTTTTTCTTAATCTGGCTAGAAGCTTATCAATTTTATCGATCTTTTTAAAAATTTATTTCTGAATTTGCTAATGTTTACATCTTTATTCAGTATTTAAAATACTTCAATTCATTGACTTTTTATCCAGGTTGAAGATTGTAAAAATTTCATTTAAGTGCAAACAGTTTTTTATTCAACTTAGAAAAGAATTGGTGAGTATTAAGATAATAATTATTAATATAAATGAAATCTTAAGAAATGATAAATCATTTATGACAGAACTTTTATTGCAAGTGAAAGTATTATTACTACTACTGATAACTGCCTCCTGAGTTAATTAATTCACATTTTATGACAAGGTGGATTGATTTCCCCAGTGTTTCTCTGGTTATGATTCAAAGTTCCTCTAGTTACCCATTCTACTATCTCTTTAACTTAGAAACTGATCTCAATCCTGATGTTCATTAGCAGTCCCCTGGGCCCCATTCATGAGGGTAGTAAGAGAACATTTTATATATCCTTTTTCTTTTTACTACTAGATCTATAGTGCTTCTTTTCATATATAAGTTCATTTTATTTTAGGGAACCTGAGTGTTTAGTTTCTAGTTCATGAACATATAGTACATTTTTCTCTTATTTGTAGTGGTAATGTTCTTTTTATGTATTAAATACAGTACATTGAGTTATGGAAAATACAGTGTTGAGAAGAATTTTTATGTTGCAGCTTTCTCTATTTTATCAAATTAATGTTATCCTTTGGCTTAACATTATTTCTTAAAGATATTGACAAATTAATGCAGATTTTTCAAGATGGTTGTATATGTGTAAAAATGTATTTAGAATCTTAAAAAATGTATTAGGCTCAGCTGCATTGTATCAGAAGACATTGATCTGCTAAGTCATAATGATTCATCATTTGTGCTCACAAAATATGAAATTTTTTTCTACAGAGTTTTTATTGAAATAGAAAAGTGTGCAAACATTAAATATAGTGCTTAATAAGTATATGATATATAATGTTAATATGTAGAACATTACTACCACCCCAGAAGTTGGTATTATTGCTAATAGACATGATGCCCACTTGCAGTCATTAACCCTTCCAAAAGGTAAACATTATTCTCATTTGTATCACCATGGATTAGTTTGTTTATTTTTGAACTTTAAAAAATAAATGCTATAGAATGTTCTCTTTTTGTCTGCTTATTTTTCCTTAACATTGTGAAATTCATCCATGTTATTACACATAGCAATGGTTTATTCCATTTTTGTATGGTATTTTACTGAATGAATATAGCATAAGTTACTTATTCATTCTTATGTATGTGAACAATTTTGCCATTTTCAAGTTGTAGCTATTATGATTAATGCTACTTATGAACATTTTTGTACATTTCAAATAAATGTTTAGAGAAATAAAATATGGCAAGTTTTATCCAGAAACTAGAGAACAGATAATTTACTTTAAATGTTTATATGCATAGATGACAGTAAAGAAATCAACTTTTTAAATTTATGTGCCATGATAGTACTATTTTATTAGTAACAAACATTTATTACAGTTTTCCTATGTGCCTGGTAATATATCAATCATATTCATATCATTTAATCCTCACAACCATTGTCTGAGGTAATGTATCACTAGGAATGTGTTTAACCTCAGGTAATATCAGTAACAAAAAGTCAACTAATAATTTATTTAAAGACTTCTAGCCAAGATGGAGGTGTAGATAGGTATACTGTGCCTCTTTACACAACCTAAAGAGGGCAACAACAAATTTAAAAACAAAAAACAACTAGAACTGCCAGAAAATTGAACTGTATGGAGGCCCCAAAACCAAGGAATTAAAGAAAAAATATTCATCTGGACCAGTAGGAGGGGTGGAGATGGGCAGCTGGGGTAGAGAGGATGGATGCACAGCAAGGTGGCAGGTGGTGGAGTAGGCACTCCCACATATGCATGAGGATAAACCGAGAGGGAAAACTGGGGAGTGAGACAGACCATACAACCCAGGGTTCCAGTGCAGGGAAATAAAGCCTCAGAACCTTTGACTGTAAAAATTTGCAGGAGTTGAGGCAGCAGGAGAAACTTCCAACCTTACAGGAGAGTTCGTTGGAGAGATCCGCAGGATCCTAGAACATACACCAACCCACCAACCGGGATTCAGCACCAGAAGGGCCCAATTTGCTTGTGGGTAGTGGAGGAAGTGACTGAAAGCCAGCTGAGAGCTATGCAGGCATCATTACTCCCTCTCGGACCCCTCCTCCACAGATAGAGCACAGCATAACCAAGTGGGTTGCCCCACCCTGGCAAATATCTAAGGCTCCTTCCCTTATCATATAACAAGTGCACTGAGACAAAAAATATATATGTTCCAAATAAAAGAACACATCAAAGTTCCAGAAAAAAATAGAACTAAGTGATGAAGAGATAGACAACCTATTAGATGCAGAATTCAAAACACTGGTAATCAGGATGCTCGCAGAAATGGTTGAGTATGGTCACAAACTAGAGGAAAAAGTGAAGGCTATGCAAAGTGAAATAAAGGAAAATGTTCATAGGGAACTAACAGTGAAGGGAAGGAAACTGGCAATCAAATCAATGCTTTGGAACAAAAGGAAGAAATAAACATTTAATAGGAACAGAATGAAGAAACAAGAACTAAAAAAAAATGAGGAGAGTGTTAGGAAATTCAGGGACAACTTTCAACATTCCAACATCCAAATTACAGGAGTGCCAGAGGGAGAAGAGGAAGAGCAAGAAATTGAAATCTTATTTGACAAAATAATGGAGAACCTCTCTAATCTGGCAAAGAAAATAAACTTCTAGGAAGTCCTGGAAGCTCAGAGAGTCCCAAAGAAGTTGGACCCAAAGAAGCACACCCCAAGGCACATCGTAATTACATTACCCAGGATTAAAGATAAGGAGAGAAACTTAAAAGTAGCAAGAGAAAAGGAAAGAGTTACCTACAAAGAAGTTCCCATAAGACTCTCAGAAGATTTCTCGAAAGAAACCTTACAGGCAAGAAGGGGCTAGAAAGAAGTACTCCAAGTCATGAAAGGCAAGGACCTACATCCAAGATTACTCTATCCAGTAAAGCTGTCATTTAGTTGGGCAGATAAAGTGCTTCCCAGATAAGGTCAAGTTAAAGGAGTTCATCATCACCAAGCGCTTATTGTATGAAATGTTAAAGGGACTTATCTAAAAAAACGAAGAAGCTCAAAAATAGGAACAGTAAAATGACAACAAACTTACAACTATCAACAACCAAACCTAAGAAAATAAAAGCTAAAACAAACTAAGCAAACAACTAGAACAGGAAGACAATCACAGAAATGGAGATCACATGGAGGGTTATCATCAGGGAGGTGGAGGGGGAAATGGGGAAAAAGTTACAGGGAGTAAGTAGCATAAATGGTAGGTAAAAAATAGATGGGAGGACATTAAGAAGAGTATGGGAAATGGAGAAGCCAAAGAACTTGTATATATGACCCATGGATATGAGCTAAAGTGGGGGGGATGTGGGTGGAGGGGTGCAGGACACAGGGGAATTAAGGGGGGAATGGGACAACTGGAATAGCATAATCAATAAAATATATGTTAAAAAATAATGGATTTAAATACTATACAGGCATACCGTGCAGAATGGTGCCTTGTTAATATTTTCTCTCTGAAATCTCACTTTTTTGAAAAGGCTTTATTTATTTTTGAGAGAGAGGGAAAGGGAGAAAGAGAGGGAGAGAAACAACTCATACACACCCAGCTTGGGACCTGGCCCGAAATCCAGGCATGTGCCCTGGCTGGGAATTGAACCAGCAACCTTTTGGTTCACAGGTTAGCATTCAATCCATTGAGCCACTCCAACCAGGGCAATAGAATCTACTTGTCTCAGTTTCATGTTTTCTATATCTGTTTTTTACAATACAGGTGGGAAATTTTTGTTACATTCCCAATACAGTTGGTAAAGCATTAAAATCACAAGTGGACTTGAAGTGTTAAAAAAGGGAGAACATAAAGGCATCTAAGATTTTGCCTCCACTGAGAACAATTACTGCAGTCATACTCTGAGACATTCACTGTCATTTTTCATTGTTTGTGATATGTGATACAACATGTAATTGTTAATGCATGCAAAGCAACTCTTAAGCAGAATTAAGAATTCTCTGGTGATCAAGAAGTGATATTTTAAGTATATTATCTTTTAACATGGTAATTTAATACTTATACATGAGCATTTTATTGTATTTTAGTTATAGAAAATATCTTCATGACCCTCTGATGGGCAGAGATTTCTTTAACAGGACATAGAAGGAAAACCACCTTTAAAGAAACATTTAATAACTTGGATTGTGTTAAAATTGAGAACTATATTCATGAAAAGACATCATTAAGAGAATAAAGTATCACAGAATATGTATATAACACATGCACCACATCCTTGGTTGTATATCCAGCAGAATCCAAAAATATGCTAGTGGCTTCATGGACACTCCAGAAATAAGGATATCCACGTAGCTAGTGACAGGAAAAGATATTGAACCTCACTAATCATCAGAGAAGTACCAATTATAACCAAAATACGGTACTTCTCATCCACCAGAATAGTGTAATGAAAAGATTGCTAAACTCAGTAGTGAGTTCATGGAACACACACTGCTGGTGGGAGGCAGCATATATATATATATGTAACCATTTTGGAAAATTGGGCGTTATCCACTGAAGGTGAACACATGCATATCTTATGATTCAACAGCAGAAACATATACTTATGTGCATCAGACAACATGCAGGAATATATATGGCAATGTTTATTCATGTCTAAACTGAAAACATCAAGTGTTTATCAACAATAAATGGGTAAATAATGATAAATTCATATAATAGAATACTATGTAGAATGAAAATGAGTGAGTTACTTCTTTGTGACTATATGAATGAGTATAGAAACATAATATTTAACCAAAGTCAGACCTAAAGACACATATGTATGATTTCATGTATACAAGATTCAAAAACAAGGTAATGCGATAGAAAGGGGAGACCATGGATACTTCAGAAGTGCTAATAATGATCTGTTTCTTGATCTGGTTGGAGGTTAAATGGTTGCATTCATTGTGTGAAAATCAGAGCTGTACACTTATAGCGTGTGCCTCACTATATATATATATATATATATATATATATATATATATATATATATCTGACTTCAGTGAAGCTTAAAATATTCTGCCAAACTTATAGAGAAAAATTAAAGAAATGCTTCTATTTTGTTGCTCAGTTTTAAATTGGAGTTTCATTAGTGTTTAGAAGTGCTGGATATTTTTATTTACTTAACTCTCAAGTGGTCATGTGGATGGCAATAGTCATCCATACACAATAACTGTCAAGTTTTAGTCCAAAGTCCAACTTTCTCATAGAAGTTACTTAGATGATTATTAATAAAAAGTTTTAAAAATTTGTATTCATTTAAATTCCTGCTTTTAAAGTGGATGACCAATGTCATCCAGGCCACCTCTCATTCTCCATTCGGAAGGGTGACCACTGCAGGATTAATATCTAGAGAGATTTGTAAGCTTAGAAATATTGATAAAAGATGCGATGATATATCTTAAAGTTAATTTATGGACCAGGATTATTTTGAAACAATTATAGCTAGTGAATTTTGAAAAAGGATGTATTGATTTTTAAACTTATTTTTATGTTCTAAAATAAAGCTCCTAAGAATTGTAATATTACTGAATAAGATCCACATTTTGCAAACTTTTACCTTTATTCTGCTGCTTTTTTTTATTGAACAACAACAACAAACCCTAGAGTGATTAGTGTTTGTAAGGCTAAAATATCTGTGAATAGTGGATCAAATGGAGTATTATTTCTTGATATTTTCTCTGCTTTTATTTTTTTTCCAGCTTGAATCTAGAGAAACCTTGTTGGGATTTAATATGGTGAATTATAGAGCATGCAAAAATTTGTGGAAAGTATGTGTAGAACATCACACATTCTTCCGTTTGGACAGACCACTTCCACCTCAAAAGAATTTTTTTGCACATTACTTTACATTAGGTTCAAAATTCCGATACTGGTAAGTATTCTTTATGCAGTAATGTCCTATTGGTAGATTTTTATTCCCTTTAAATTAAAGGTGTAGTTTATTGAGCCATAGAATTTTTGTTACTTATACATATCTAGTGAATTAAAATCTCCATGTCTATGTCAGCACAAAGCTCTGTTGGTTCTTGTCATATAACCAGACTAGAAACCAGTTCCACTGACTTTATCCAGTTCATTATTTTCTGAAGCTAACGATATTTGATTACTTATTTTTTAGAAATGGTATCATTTCCATTGTGTTTTCATTAAATATTTTTAGAACTTCTTTGTTCTAAGATACCTTTATTTTATTTGTAAAAACTAAGCTATCTTCTGCACGAGCATATTATTACTTTGCTTTTTTTTAATGTGTAAGTTGTGCAGCCCTTTATTGTAACTACTTCAAAACAGCTCATACAAAATCAGATTTAATCATAAACAATAACCCCAGTTTCTTTTCCTAAAATTGTCATATTATTTATTCATAATAGCTTTTTTCCCCTGAAGGCAATAATCTTTGTGAGATAACTCTAACCAGAAAAAATAACAGCATCAAGCTTAGTATTACTGACTATTTCATTAAAAATACATGCCCTTCCCTCCCTTCACAAAAGAAGTGGTAAAAGTAGCCCAAAAATTTAGTAGCAACACAAACAGAATTAGGAAAAACTGTTGTTTTTTTTTAATTTATAGTTGTTCAGTTACAGTTGTCCCTCCTTTTTCCTCAATGCTCACCCCTATCCTGTCTCCCTCCCCCATTCCCACAGTCAGTCCCTCCCCCACTGTCCATGGCCATGAGTCCTCTGTTCATGTTCCTTTGATTGCTCCTTTTCTTCTTTCCCCCATTATCCCCTCCTACCTTCCCTCAGGTCACTGTCAGTTTGTTCTGTATTTCCAAGTCTTTAGTTCTATTTTGCTCATTTATTTATTTTGTTAAGTTCCACTTATAGGTGAGATCATATGGTATTTGTGTTTCATCGCCTGGCTTGTTTCACTTAGCATAATGCTCTCCAGATCCATTCAAGCTGTTGTGAAGTGTAGGAGCTCCTTCTTTCTTTTTGCTGCATAGTATTCCATTGTGTAAATGTACCACAGCTTTTTGATCCACTCATTTACTGATGGGCTCTTAGGCTGTTTCCAGCATTTGGCTATTGTAAATAACACTGCTATGAACATTGGGGTGCATAAGTTCTTTTGAATTGGTAATTCAGTATTCTTAGTGTATAGTTCCAGTAGTGATATTGCTGGGTTAAAAGTTCCACTTTTAGTTTTTTGAAGAAAGAATTAGGGAAATTTTAACCACAAAAATGGCACAGCAAATTTTTAAGTGGCTTGGTGTCTTGTTTAACTCCTCTAGCACCTTCCTAAAACCAGTATTGGGAAAAGTAAGTTGGTGGTACTTACAAATTTAAAGGTAAATAGAGCATTAGATAAAAGGTGAAAGTCAAGGAAAAATTTAAGAAGCGTTATCTGTTGGTACTGCATCTCAGCAGAGACAAAAGTAATCTCCAATGAGACAGCAGTGCAGACCATAAAGGTACTTTCTTAATAAACTTAACTCCAAACTAAATGACTAGAGTTATTATACAAGGACTACACTTATCTCTAGCAGAACTGTTTCTTCCTTGGGGAAAATGGACCTAGTACTGGCAGATTTTACAGCTTTATTGAGGTATAACTGACATACAATAAGCTACCATATTTAAAGTTTTCAAATTGATGTCTGGAGATAGATATATCTCTATTAATCCATTACTGTTTAAGATATCAAGCATATCCACCCAAAATCTCCCCCCACATTTCTTTATAGCTCCTTTCTTTTACCCTTCTTTATTTCCATGCAACTACCTGTCTGGTTTGTATATATATTTTATATATACATACATGTAAGTGGTTTGTTTTTCTGGGGTTTTATGTAAATTTAACCATGTATATTGCATATTCTTGTTAACCTGGACTCTTTTACAAAGCATAATTATTCTCCAATTGATCTATTTTGTTGCCCATATTGATGGCTTATTTCTTCTTATTGTACAGGAGTTAGTATTCCATTGTATACATGTACTACAATTTATCCGTTCAACAGGTATACAGTTTATTCGTTCACTTGTTTATGAGTATCAAGTGGGTTGTTTCCCCACTTATTTTGGTTGTTTCCAAGTTTGGACTATTACAAATTAAGCTACTGAGAACATTCATGTGGAAATATTTATATAGATGTTTACTTTAATTTCCCTTTATTAAACATCTAAAAGAGGAAAAGCCAGATTACGTAGTACATGTGTATGTAATTTGGAGAAACTGCCAGTAGTTTTTTTCAAAGGAGTTTGTACCATTTTATGTTCCCACCAGCAATGTTTTTTTGTTTTGTTTTGTTTTTAAATTATATTTAATATTTATGCTATTACAGTTGTCCCAATTTTCCCCCTTTGGTTTCCATTAACTCAGACCTCCCACCCACTCCCTCAGGCCATCCCTACACAGTTGTCCCTTTCCATGGGTCAAGCACATATATTCCTTGGCTATTACATTCCCTATGCTGTACTTTACTTCCCCATGACTATTCTGTCCCAACTAATCTGTACTCCTTAATCTGTTCACCTTTTTCACTCATTGCCCCAACCCCACTTCCATCTGGCAACCCTGAAAACATTCTTATGTGTATATGATTCTGTTTCTGTTTTGCTTTTTGTGTATTTCGTATTTTAGATTCAGTTGTTGATATATATTTATTGCTATTTTATTATTCATATCTTTGATCTTCTTAAAGAAGATCTTTTAACATTTCATATGATACTGGTTTGGTGATGATGAACTCCTTCAACTTTTTGTCTAGGAAGCTTTTTGTCTTTTCTTTTTACATGATAGCTTGCTGGGTAAAGTAATTTGGTTTCTCTGCTTTTCATCACTTTGAATATTTCTTGGCAGTCTCTTTGATCCTACAAAGTTTGTTTTGAGGAATCATCTGACAGTCTTATGTGAGCTCTCTTTGGCTACCTAACTGCTTTTCCTGATTTTAAGATTCTCTTTTTGTTTTTAACCTTTGGCATTTTAGTTATGATGTGTCTTCATATGGATCTCTTTGGGTCTCTGAGCTTCCTGGACTTGGACGTCTATTTCCTTCACCAAGTTACGGAGGTTTTCTGTCCTTATTTTTTTTTTAATTAGGTTTCCAATTTCTTGCTCTTTCTCTTCTCTTTCTGACACCCTCATGATGCAAAATGTTGGAATGCTTGAAGTTGTCCCCAGAGGCTTCTTACACTGTCCTCATTTTTTTTGCAAGGGGGGGATTCTTTTTTCTTCTTGTTCTGATAGGGTGTTTTTTACTTCCTTATGTTCTAAATCACTGATTTGATTCTCAGCTTCATCCACTCTACTGTTGATTCCCTGTAATTTTTTCTTTTGAAATTTGGTTCTATCTGAGCCATGTTTCTTTGTCTTCATTTTGTCAGCCTCCCTATGTTGTTTCTACATATTAGGTAGAGCTACTACAACTTTCTGGCTTGGAGAGCGGCTTAATGTAGTAAGTGTTCTGTAGGGGCCAGTGGCACAACCTCCCCTATCACCTAAGCTGTATACTCGAGGTGTGCTCATGTGGGCTGAGTATACCCTCCTCTTATAGTTGAGTTTTTATTGCTGTTGGCAGGTCAGTGGGAGGGATTTACCCAGACCCATAAATTGCAAGGACAGGCTATGGCCACTGACCACCAATCTGTCACCACCATGGAGAATCATCTGTATAGGTATTACTAAACAGCAACTGAGCTCCTGCTGCCTGCTCCCACCCTCTAGGCAAAATTCCAGAGGCAGAGGCTTGGTGAAAAAGTAAAGGAGTCTTTATTCAAAACTGACAAAATTTTGGAACAGCTTTCCATATCCATTAGTCACTCAAGCCTATCAACTAAGGCTGAAATCTTTAGTGCTCTAGTCCCCCTTATCATTCCCCCTATTGGTTTTTAATTACCTATTTCTGTAAGGTTAGTTTATAAACTAAAACAACATAAGATACAAAACTATACAATTTTGGGAAAATGACAGGCTTTTGCCTAAAAGCCCATCTCCTATACAGGAGCCCCCAAACCCCAGGCTGTGGACCAGCACCCGTCTATGGCCTGTTAGAAACTGGGCTACACAGCAGGAGGTGAATGCCAGGCAAGCAAACAAAGAAGCTTCATTCTCAACTCTGCCTCCTGTCTTGGCAGCAATAGTATTACCTCCTGAGCTCTGTCTCCCGGCCCTCCCCCCACACCCACATGCTTGGAAAAATTGTGTTTCACGAAATCTGTCTGCCTTGTGCCAAAAAGGTTGGGGATTGCTGGTCTGTAACACCTGAAGAAAAATAACCCTGTCGTCCTCTGCCAGGCCAGACCACTCCTGGGCTGCCCCCAGAGTTCCTTCTCTCATTTAAAAATATCATCCTTTGGAAAAAGCAGGTGGCTACAGCACAGTCATTCATGCATCCTCAAGGAAGAGACAGAGAGCTAGTTTCTGCCTTCCTTTTGTTTAAATCTTCTTGTCCTGAACTCTGTGAACAGCATAGGCGCTCACCTTGTCAGCCACTCCCATCCCAGACTATTTATCATTGCCTCAGGTCATCTCTTTCTATGGCCTCTCCCTACTCCTCCCCAGTGATTTGATCAGATGTCTACCACAGGGGCCCACTCCACAGGTCAGAACTTACTTCATCAGGGCCCTGGTGCCCTCTGAGTCTGCCCCTTGAATGTGTCATTTGTGGGGGTGGTTGGGTGTTGGTACTCCAACATGGTCTGTAGCTGTCCGCTGGGTGTGCAGGCTCTGGGGCCTCCTGGGAAGAGCAGGCCAAGGTCAGTCACCACCTGTGTTCTGCCCAGGGCTACCCAGCATAAGCTACAGAGCAGTCTGCAGGTAGCTACATCTTGTGCTAGGTTCAGTGGTGCCTAAGAGTATCCAAGCTGTGAACTATGGCTGCTGCTAATGCCGGGTCTTTGGCCACTTAGCAGTAGGCATGGGACA